ACCCCTTTATAGTATGAAATTAGCACATAACACCCTTGAATAGAAAACTGGAAAAGACAAAATTACCCCTGTCAAGTCAGAAATTTTGTTTTACTTTAAAAATAACTATTCTATAAAATGAAAAGTTTAATGTACTTTTTTGTAAAACTAGTACTTCACCCGTGCGTTGCACGGGGTATTCATCGTAAAAATAAATATTTGATTTAAAAAAATATTGAAATAGTAAGATCAATGATATGCAATACAAAGTAGTAAGTAGAAAAGTAAAAGAAAATAAAAAATGTATTCTGTATTGTGTAAGTAATGAATACCAGTACCAGTACCTGTATCAATATCAATACCATTACCGTTACGATTACCATTACCATTACCATTACCATTACCAATACCATTTACATTACCATAACCATGACCATTACTATTGCAGTTACCATCACCAATATCAATACTATTATCATTGCCAGTATCATTATCAATACCAATACCAATACGTATAGCAATACCAATCATTATCATTACCATTACCATTACTAATCCTAATACTAATAATACTAATATGATAATAATAATACTATTACTATTAGTGTTAGTAATCCTAATGTTATTGCTAATCATAATCCTGGTAATAACTCTAATCTTAATTCTAATACTAATCTCAATCATAGTTCTAATTCAAATTGTAATCTTTATGACAATGTTAGTCTTAATCTTAATACTAATTCTAATCCTTATTGAAATGCAAATATGCTAATTCTAACTTAATACCAATCTTTTTATGCTAATGCTAATGGTAAGGCAAATCCTAATTCTAATTATAATTCTAACCATAATACTGATCTTAATACTAATTTTAATCATAATGCTAATCCTAATACTAATATTCATACTAATATTAATTCCAATATGCTAATGCTAATACTAATATACTAATGCTACTACTAATACTATTACTAATATTAATTAGCTAATGCTAATATTAGTATACAAATGCTAATGCCAATACTAATACTAATACTAATATACTAATATTAATACTAATATACTGATACTAATATATTAATACCAATGCATACCAATATCAATATCAATACCAATACCAATACCAATATCAGTACAATTATTAATACCAATACCAATACCAATACTAATATCTCAATACCAATATCAATACAATTACCAATTTCAATACTATTACCAATATCAATACCAATATCAATGCAAATACTAATATCAATACCAATACATATACTAATATCAATACCATTATCAATACCATCATCGTACCATA